ATAGAAAATCTTTGGAGGGAGTTGAAAGTCCGTGTTGCCCAGCGACAGCTCCAGAACATCACTGCTCTAGAGGAGATCTGCATGGAGGAATGGGCCAAAATACCAGCAACTGTGTTCTAAAACTGCATTTTGGATAGGCATTATTAAAAAAATAAAAAAATCCAATGTATCTAGTAATATATCAATAGTTGATATCTGTAATTATATTTCTACTAGTAGAAAAATATTTTAGATGTCAAGAATTGTATTTCTGGATATCTTGAATATAACATTTATTTTTCATATCTGAAATAGTTATTATGACAAGCAGTAACCCTTTTATTCAGGTCTGAAATTAGAATTCATCCTCATCAGAATTCATTATAGATAGGAAGAATCTTTATTTTAGAATGTTACATAGAATGTTATTTTAGATATCTGGAATTTAAAGCCTAATACACGTGAATGGGATACGTGACATCATTTGTACTTTTAAGAATTACATTTCAGCTATCTGAAATTTTTATTTTAGATTGGAAGAATGTTATTTTAGATATCTGAATTGTTCATTTTGACTAGGAAGAAATACATTTGAGACCTCTGAAATATATATTCAGTCAAGCTAACAAATGTCAAAAAGGCCATTTAAAATTTGTAAAGTTTAATCTTACTAGTAAAATTATATTTTTGGCAGCCTGAAATTTTATTTTTGCTGTCAAAATGTAATTTAGGATATCTATATGTAAATTTCTGGCTAGTAGGAATGTTGTTTTGACTAGGAAGAATCTTATTTTAGAGATCAACAAATGAACAATAGAGAGGACAGTGCTTCGAATAAATGTTCAAACGGCTTGCCATAGCCCTCGTTTCACTGCTCCACCGTACTGCCAAGGTAGGTATCCCTGCGAAAATGTGTTACCCCTCGTCCAGAGCACGCCCGGAGAAGGAAGAGCTGACCGGGTTCACTCCACCTCAATTCCAGTGTACTGAAAGTGAAAAACATAAACTGTTGTCAACCATATACTTGCAGGCCACCTGCTTTAATCTGACCCCCATTGCAACTTCACAAAACAAAGGTCTATCATCTTCAAAGTTTCAGGAGTGAGCTGTCATCATAAAAGATGTTTATAAACTGAAAATGAGAACGCTGGGAGTCTGTGTCTAGTTTAGACAGAGGGGGTGGACAGATTAAAGCAGAGACAGATAGCCCTATAGAATCTACTGTAAACACTATAGTTGATGAAGTTCAAGCCTAGTGTCAAATCCTAATCTTAAGAATGTGTATATTCCAATGCTGGATGTGTAGAGTTGATGGAGATATCAATTCTGGCAATATGGCAGTCATCCCAAGTTCCACCAACTCATTTCAGGGAGATGCTTAAACCCTTGAACCTAATTGGAAAAAAAAAATTCCTTTCATGCAGCTCTCTTAATATATTTGAATCCATTGCCCTGTTTTTTATTTCATGCTTTTCTGGCCCCCATGAAAACACGCTGGCCCCATCCTGGCCCCCTGGTACATTTGGTCTAGATCCGCCACTGTTCCTCAGCTTCATTAGATTACTTTAGTATATTCTGCTGTAAAATTAGTCCTATATTTTAGTTATTACTCCAGGATTCAACCTCTGCCTTTTCACAGGATGCACAGCTTAAACTTATCTGACTGATCCAATCAGCTCTCTGACAACCAGCAGCAGGGGGTCCTCTAGAAATGTTTCATAGGTTCAAAACTGTCTGTGGAAAACTATCATAAAGATCTAAGTAAACACCTACTCATACCTTTTGGCTTATTGTGCGATTATTAATCTACTACTGATCTAATGTGCACACTGCACAGACGTAGACCAGTTAACATTTTGAGTTGGTCAATAGTTGGGTTTTACTTATATTTAAAATAAGTTGTACATTTATTCATATTTTGAAAACAAAAAATTACTGGTGGTCCAGGAACAGGTGGAACACCTGCTTTCACTGAGTTCTGCCGCTTCTGTCATTAAAGCAGCTGACTGTCCCTGGTCTGCTGCTGTTTCATGCTTTTCCTCATCACTGTTCTTTACTAATGCTGTGTCCTCATCATGCTGCTGGATCTGTTTCTCTCCTCCATCCTCCTTCTCTCTCTTCTTCTCCTCCTCCATCCTCCTCCTCCTCACTGGTTATCTGTTGCTCCCCTGTCATCTCTGCTTCTGCTGTAGTTATTTTCTTAAAATAAGAACAGATTTCTGTGAACTTTCTCTTCATGTCTGTAAATTAACAAGCCATACACAATCACCAACTCATCCAGTAAGCTGGATGAGTTGGTGTCAAAAACACACTAAAAGCTGCTTTAACAGTATAATGTTACAGTTCACATATCCCCCTTTTCAAACAAATGATTTGACTTATTTACTTACCGTTAGTTTTATACGCTTTCTCACCGTTAAAGTGGGCACGGGCTTGGCCGTAGTTCTCATAGCGCTCAAGAGGTGTGTACCTGTACCGGTAGCTCATTTGCGCATGCGCAAGAAAATATAGGGTAGGGGAGGGGGAGAGCAGGAGGCCTACAGTGTGAGAGGAGGAGAGCGGCTGCTCTGCTGGCTGCATAATGGGGTGAAACGCTAAACCGATGCTACTACAGTTTACACTGGCCAGTGGAGGGGCCAGTGGGGTGGCCGTGGCCACCCTCGGCCACCCCCTGGTGGCGCCCTTGAGTATCTGGTGCACAATTTATTGTATTGCCTGCCCGCTCTCACTCGCAGTAAAAAACAAAAAACAAAAAAACAAAACACCACCTTACAAAGTCTAAAATCCGGGATAATTTATCCGACTCGCGGGCATTTTCAACAACTACCTATATCAAGGAGACTCCCGGAGCTTCTGGGAGACTTTGGATGTCTGAGCCTGATGTTAGAACAAAGACTGTTTATTAAGGATAGTACAACATAGAGAAAGTAGTTAATATAAAACACAAATATAGATTTAATTACTAAATTTCACACAGAAAAATAGGAATTTTTCATCTGGATATAGTCTTTAATGGTTACACGTACACTCCATGTTCTATTACAAGTATATGGTTGACAACAGATTTCTATGGGATGAGAACATTTAGACAGTGAAACGTTTCTTTAATTCGCGTGTTGAAACGAACAAGGAGCTGTTTGCTTTCAGAGAAAGGAGTAGACTCTGCTGTCAGCCACATGCTTTCAAGAAAACGCTCTTGTTTTATTTTATTTGTAAATCAGTATCACTGGCAATATTCTGCTGTAACAAGTGAAGGGAAAAATAAAACAGAAAAGCTCATCTTTCATAAACATAACCCCTTTAAATTTCACTTTCAGTTCGCTTCCCATGAGACTGGATTGGCTCTTCCTACTCCGGGCGGGCTCTGGACGAGGGGAACCACGTTTTTGCAGAGACGGTGTCTGTCCATCACTTTTATGCGCAGAGCTGTTGCGACTCAGATCTCCCTCATATTATAGTGGTTGGATTTGAAAAGAAACAATAAACCAAGTAGTTTATTCTGCAAGTTGTGGCCTACCAGCTTGTTCCTGCTCTTATCTAATTCTTTGTTTCTATCGTGGGTAAGTGAGTTCAAATATCTTTTGAATACATTTTCTTTGTACACCTTAAAACGCAGCATCATTGTAGCCAGGGGAGGATCTAGGGTTCTATTTTACGTTTTAATGTAAAATATGACAGATTGCTGGATTAAGGACATTTCTACTTCATGCTATAACAGATAATTTTTCAGGATTTGCAAACAGTTGCTCTTTATTTCCCAAACATATGGGAGGAGGAGAGGAGAGATTTCAGCTGCCTGAAATAACATGTTCCACCTGCATAACATGGGAAGAAATTAATCCATCTTTAACTGTGTTTATTCCTCTCTTCATCAACAACAAACCTTTTGGATTTGGTGACATTTGATCATTATTTGCCAGAGTTATAAGAGGGGAATCAAATATTTTAGTCACCTGATATAATCCATTCCCCCTATAACATGGGAAAAAAAGCCAGTAAATTTTGAAACTGTCGTTATTTTTTATACATTATGTTTGAAAACATTGTTTTATATTTTCAAATCCAAAATAGTTAAAACTGCTGCTGTTTTGATGATCTTTATGAAATGTATTTTCGATTCTCAATTCAAAATGTCTGCAGTAGCATTGCTGCAGACATTTCCACTGCTTTTGTTTGAACTTTTTTTGTGTGGAATATTTGTAAATTGTTAGACAAACATTTAAAATGATAATACATTTCATAAAGATCATCAAAGGGGGATCTGATTATATCAGGTGGCTAAAATATATGATTTCCCTTTATAACTCTGGCAAAAAATGATAAAATGTCAGCAAATCCACAGAATTTGTTGTGAATGAAGAGAGGAATAAACACAGTTAAAGACTTGCAGGTGAATTTATTTCTTCTCATGTAATGGAGGGGGAACAGACCATTTCAGGCAGCTG